GAAGGGGGGAGAGGGAAAGTAAATAAAAAGGAGGGGGGAAAAGAAAGGAAAAAGACAACAAGGGAAAAAAATTGGAAAAAGGGAATAGAAAAAGGGGGAAAAAAAGGGGGTTGCAGCAAACTCACCGGGGTTGTTGGCCTCCCCTTCGAGGACGTGCAGCTCGGTGCAGTCCGCCAGCGAGTGCTCCAGGCAGAGCTGCAGGAAGCGCGCCTGGGTCCGGCTCACGCGTTTGAGCAGCGAGAGCAGCGCAACAGTCTGCTCGCATTCGTTCCAGCCCTTAAACCAGCCGGCCAGAACGCCGACCTGGTCTCGAAACATCATGGTGCTGAGGGCCGGGGTGCGAGGGGAGGGCTGCTCTCCTCCTCCTCCTCCTCCCCCCCCCCCCCCCCCCCCCCCCACGCACACCCGGTGATAGAGCCGGGTGACGGTGAGGATTTCCTCTGCGATGCGAGGCTGGGTTGGTGGGTGGGTGTAGGGCGCAGCTTCGGGTTCGCTCGGTTCTCTTCGGGGGTGGTGATGGCGATGCGGAGTAAATGGGGTTGGGAGGGAGGGAGGGGGGGAGGTGGAAAAAAAAAAAATTAAGAAAAATTTAAAAAGATGAAGGGGGAGAAAAAAAAAAAAAAAGGTAAAATAGTAATGAAAAGCCCAGCAGTCTGCGTGCACCGAGCCGGCCCTGCGCTGCGAGTGTGGGCAAGGCACGGAACGGGCGGGATCGGGCCGGGGGGGTCACACCTGGAAGAGAGAAATGGGGAGGGATCAGAGAGGGGGGGCAGGAGGAGGAGGAGGAGGAGGAGAGGAGGAAGGCACGCAGCAGCCGGGCACTGCAGCCCGCTGCCTTTCTCCTCCTCCAGATCTGGGCTCACCCCACCGCTTTGGGAGTGGGGGGGGGAGATGTGGGAGCCCCCTCCCAGCGAGCAGACAGCCCCCAGAAAATACCTTCGGGAGAAAGGAAAAAGGGATGGATCTCTTCCAGCACCCTTCTAGGAGGGGGCAACGCAGCAATCCTCCCCCCCCAAAAATAAAAGTTCCCCCCCCGGCTGCCCGGCACTCACCTCATTCACACCGGCCTCGGGGTGCTGGAAAAGGAGGGAGGGGGGGGAGAGAGGCGTGGGGGGGGTCGTGCCATGGCGGGGAATGGGGAGGGGGGGGAATAAGGGGGAGAGAAGGGGGGGGCGCGGGGCGCGAGCGGCGGCGGCGGCTCCGCGGCGCGAGACTGAGCCCGGCGGCGCGCCGAGCCCCCGCTCCCCACATTGCGCTCATTTGCATAGCGGTGACGTCATCGGGGGCGGGGCGCGGGAAAGGAAGGTGGGGGGGGGGGTTGGGGCGGGGGACGGGACGGGGACGCGCGCCCTCCTCTCGTTCCCCGCGTGCCCCAACCCCGTGCGACGGCTGCGTGCGAATCCCCGCTGCTAATTTAGCGCTCCGTTCCCCTCGCGCCAAAAACAGCGCCGCAGTCACACCTCCTCCTCCCCGCCCTCCCCGCTCCCCATCCGCAAAGCTTCTCCCCCTCCTCTACCCCCTAAAAGCTGCGGGTTTCCCGCTGGGGGAAGCCACCATCTAGTGGAGAGAGCGGGGATGGCAGCGGTTGATTGGATTTTTTAATTATTTTTTAGATATGCGTTATATATATATTAGGGCTACCCGTTGGTGAGGTTACCGCTGTGTGGGATGGGAGGGGGGGGTCCTCAGTGGGGTTGCATGGGGAGGGGTTGGTGCTTTGGGCTGTGATGGGTCCTCTGGGTTGGAGTTGTTGGGTGTTGTGAAGTGGTGGGAGTTTGGGGAGGAAAGGAAAAGGAGAAAAGGGAAAGGAAATAAAAGAATGGAAAAGGAGGGGAACGAAAATAAAGAGAAAAGGATGAGAAAAAAGAAGAAAAAGAAAGGAAGTAAAGAAAAAATGAAAACAAAATGAAAATAGATGAGAAGGGAGAAAAGGAAAAAAGAAAAGAAGGAGAAAAGGAAAGATAAAGAAAAAAAAGAAGAAAGCCTTCTGTGGAAGCTTGCGTATCCATCAGCACACAAAGGCCCAGATTTCCTATCTCGTTAGGAGCAAATCTGAGTAAAAACATCACAGCAGGAAGGATGGAAGAATTAAACGCAGCATCTCTTGTTTGTTCCTCAACAAAGTCTGGGAGCTGCCCACCAAGATGTGACTGCATTTTCATTACCTTGCATGGTGCCTTGGGCTGAGAGCTGCCCCGTTCCCAGCAGTTGGAAACCTGCTTCCAACTCAAGATGTGCCAGCAGCACAGATAGAAAGGCAGTTTTTGTACTTAATTAGCAATTAAGTGTGTCTGGTGCTGACAGAACGATGGGGATTTTAGGTTTTAGATGAAGCCAGGCTGCTGGGGGGGAGGAAAACCTTCTTCATATGAAGAAAGGAACTGGGCTTGTTTAGCTTGGAGAAGAGAAGGCTCTGAGGGGACCTCATTGTGGCCTCCAGTACTTGAAGGGAGCATATCAACAGGAGAGGGAACGGCTGTTTGTGAGGGTGGATGGTGATAGGACAAGGGGGAATGGTTTTAAAGTGAGACAGGGGAGGTTTAGGTTGGATATGAGGAGGAAGCTTTTCAGCCAGAGGGTGGTGAGGCACTGGAACAAGTTGCCCAAGGAGGCTGTGGATGCCCCATCCCTGCAGGCATTCAAGGCCAGGCTGGATGTGGCTCTGGGCAGCCTGGGCTGCTGGTTGGTGACCCTGCACTACCTGGTTAAAGTAAGAGATCAGGAATGATGTTCCGGTGTAGATGGCTGTGGTTACAACTCTGCCAAGTGAAATTACAAAGCCTGCCCACGAGGTGCTGTGGGATGAGCGTCTAACATGTTGCTGCAAGCAGATCCATTGGTTGGGCCCTGGGAACAGCTTGCTGGTTGCTTACAGGTTGCTAAAAATGAAAGATATTAACGAGCTCATCAAAACACATCAGAATATTTGGAGACCTTTAAATCATGTTATTTTCAGGCCAGGAGAAAAGCAAACACTTTGCCAGTGGTAGAGCATCAAATGCTGATGGATTTGATGGAGACTTTTTGGTATTTGTTAAGAAGTTGGGCTGAAAGAGAAGACCGTAGCAGGCAGATTTATTTACACAATTTCACATGTCTGGGAAGATACTTAAAGACTGAAAAACTGGAAAAGCTATAGCTGTTCATGTTCTCATAAACATGAGCCCACCGGCTCTTGGCAGATTTCTTTCTTTAGTCTTAAAGCAAGATCAAAAAATGGCCTGGGTTGAAAAGGATTACAATGCTCACCCAGTTCCAACCCCCTGCTATGTACAGGGTGGCCAACCAGCAGACCAGGCTGCCGAGAGCCACATCCAGCCTGGCCTTGAATGCCTGCAGGGATGGGGCATCCACAGCCTCCTTGGGCAACCTGTTCCAGTGCCTCACCACCCTCTGGCTGAAAAGAGATGTAAAGGTAAGTTCTGGTGTGATTTAGGCTGGACTTGGAGCAGGTCATCCTGCAGAGGAAGGTTTGCCAGGGTTTAGAATCGGCCACCTGGGAAGAAGGCAGCTTTCAAAGGAGCAGCAGCAGCTGGGTTGTCGATCTTGTCTTCACGTATGGCAGTGCCTGGGGGAAAGCAGTGCTTTCCAAGCTGTCACGTGCCATAAATCACTGGCCTGTTTGGTCTTTGATCAATGAAACGTGCCGCCATAGAAAGGGGTCTGCTAACCTTGGCAGCCAGAGCAGCCACATGAGAAAAGCATTGCCTGCTCCCTCGGGGTTCCCTGCTTGCTGGAATCCTCCTCAGCCTGCCAGCAACAGCCCACCCCAGGCTTCCTGCAAGCTGCTGCATTTTGAACTTGCAGTCTTGGCTCTTTCCCTGCAGGGGAAAATGGTGAAATCGTGAACCCTCAGGAAGCGGAGACCAAAACCCATAGCCTAGAGCAGGGTGCCTGCACTGTGTCTGACCAGCTAAGAAGCAGCACGACATCTCTATGTCACAGCCAGTTCTGGCAGCAGGAGACTGATGCACGATGAGCCTGGTAACCTCTGGGGTCTCGCTGTCTGGACTCAATAACACCTGTAAACTCAGAAGGAAAACAGAAGAGGACCAACTGCAAAGATAATTCACAAGTTAGCAATCCCTCCTCTAACTTGTTAAAGTAGCCCTGCTCACAAGGAGCTGATAGACATCGAAATAAAGATCATTATGAGAAATAGAAGTGACGCATTAGATTTCTTACCAGTCCCCTGACTTCAGCTGCTATTGAGAAGTCTGCCAAGAAACACTAGATTTGAAGTGGTGATGCAGTGGGAGAGTAAAGAATATTAGGACAGCCCTAAACCCTCATTTACAGAGACAAAACTCTGGAGGAAGCATCTGAAACCTAGAGGAGCTTTCTAGGTATGAACTTGCTGCTGATAGCAAGGACACCACAGACTGAAGCTATGAAGCAAAGGTAACAAATTGTGTAGTTAATTTATTGCAGAAGTAATTCTGGGATTCATCTGACCCTCAAAAGAGCATCCAGTCACCCTGCTGGTGTTTTCTAAAAAAAATGAGAATGCAGTGAGTGTGGCAATGATGATGGCAGAAAGTCATAGTAATGGCATTTCTATGGTGGAGGAGTGCATGTGCAGGGAGGATGAATTAAACCAAGTGGAGAGCATTAACTCCTATTTATATTCTGCAACAAAAATCATTACAAATTAATAATGCCCCAACACTGTTCAAGAGAATCAAGTCTTACAGCTAGATGCCCGCATGCGCTCCTGATGTCACCACATCCATAAACCTGACCTATAATGAGTAGAAAAGGAATGTTTTATTACATTTATTACAACAGAATGGCAGAGGGTTTTTTCTCCTCTGTCAGCATGGCGTGTTTTTGTGGAAGGTTTTATTTCTATATTACAGCCTTGAATCCCTGTTTTAAGACAATCAAGAAATGCACAAGACAGCTTTAAGGCTGCTCCTGTTACTTCTCTCCTCATTCATTTTTTGAGATGGCTTCTTAGAAGAAGGGCAAATGTAATAAGCCAGCTACTGTACTTGCCATAATTCTCAGTTGGGTCTTTGATTTGGGCCAGCAAGGAAGCTTGTTATATCTGATAAAGCAACTAAGCATCTCTGGAAAATGCTATTAAAAATAGAACATGAAACAAATGAAAAGCTGGGAGACTTAATGGTAAATACATGGCCTGGAAGTTCAGCACAGTTACATCCTGTTTGCCATTATTATTTAATACTGGCATCGATTGGTTGAAGGATAAGACAGACCAGGCAATTCTCTGTGGAGTTTACTTGAATACCATTCCAGTCTGAGATTAAAAAAAGCCCAGAAGCTTGCATCATACTGTCTTGTTGGGAAACTTTAATAAATTGGTGCTGCTGGTAGTTTTACAGTAGTAAAAAAAACCCCACCAAACTCATTTCTTTCTTTGATCATCTCCAAGGACAAACCAAGTCCCTGCTAACCACAAAGCAGTGCCCAGTTCCAGGTTAGAAGTAGTGCAGCACTAAGCCATCCCTCTAATGATCTGCATGGCCTCTATACCAGATGCAGGTAGGGTAAACTGTTCACGTGACACCATGCACACAAGGAAGTCTGAAAAGCAATTATTTCTACCATCATCACCTTTCCTTCCATGCAGAACAGTCAGCAACACAGACAGAGAGGCTAAACTCAGCAACCACCTTCCTCCATCAGGTCTGTAGCAACCAAGCTAGCAAAACTCAGGACAACAGAAATAGGGAAGGTGATCTTTGTTTTCAAAACTGATCTCACCCCTGTCCTTCCTGCACATTCACATACTCACTAGCAGCAAGATGTGTGTCCAAATGGTCGAGACTGCCTACAAGGAATGTTTGTCTATCAAATCCTCATGCCTTCGCAGCTCAGACTGAGTAGTGAAGACACCAGATGGTATTTAGAGTCTTCATAAGCTCTCAATACAGGCAGCTCTGGTTCTTTTGAAGTTGCATCATTCTGTTGTTTCTCCACATCTGCACTGTGTTCTCACCTGTGGGATAGCCTTGCTACCACCAGCACTCCAGCCAGCAATTGCTCCTTCTGTTATTACACTCTCTGCATTCCTCTTAGTGTTCTCAGCCTCTTAAATTGCCTCACATACACCATTCATTGCCATGATGATTTCCAAACAGAACCATTTGTCTTTGGAAGTTCTC